TATATATAAATATTTGAGTCTTGTTTATGAAGCTGTTTGGCACAGTTGGCGCTTTATTGACTGCCTATAACAGTGTAGTCATAATTTTACCGACCAGTTCGCTCTCAAGTTTCACACTTTAACTCACCTGAGTACCAAGGACATTCAAGCACACTTTGATGGTGCGCTGTTTTGGGGTACCTCATAAAAGAAGATGAACTTCTTCATTTGTACGGTTTTTTAACTTATGGTTTCTTTTCTTGAAATATTAAGAGATAGATAACAACATGAATACAAAGAAAAGAAACGCATGCTCAAAATAATTAATTAAGACCTAACGCAGTTGAGAGCGCCGTAGACCACGTACAATTTTTTACATATTATATACAATGAAAAGGAGCAAATTTGTGTTCCTGATTTGAGTGTTAAGTTTCGAAAGGTGCCGCACAGCTCATTTGGAATGCTGCTGATCGGACTTGTGTGTCTGCTTCGGTTATTAAGAATTAAAAGTTTGTGGAACTTATTGCCAGAGTTAATGGTGGGCGTGTTTGTTTTTTTAAAGAAAATCTTCAAATGTTTTTGCTTTTGCTTTCTTTTTCTCTACTCCTAAAAGGTATTCAGCTACATCTTGATAAAAAAAAAGATTACGGGATGTTGGTGGGTGTGCCCATGTGATTTGCTCTTTGTGAGACTTTATTTTCTCACTCTGGTCTGTTCTTGGCGAAATGCGGACGTGATTTTCATGGCTCGTTGAAAAACTGTAACCGGTCTTTCAACATTCATTAACTGCAACAAAAGGCAGCAATAACTATAGTCATAGCAACTATATCAACTGCAGCAGCTAAAACAGAATAGCAACAACAACAGACACAACAACAACAACAACAATAACAACAACAACAACAACGACGACAACGTCAACAACTACAATAACGACGACGACAACAACAACAACAACAACTGCAGCAGCATTAGCAACAACAGCAATAACAGCAACGACAACAACGACGACAACGACAACAACGACAACGACAACGACAACAACAACAACAACCGCAACAGCAACAGAAGCGTTGCCTCTAGAGAAAAGCGAAATGACTAAGTACATACAAAGTAAGCTCACAGAGAAAGCGAGTCTAGATCTACATATCGGATCAATGTATTGATCAGAGCAAAGGACGGCTATGCCCGTAGCCCATTTTGTTCGTTTGGCTGGTGGGTGGTGTGCTCAGTTGAGCATGAGTTTGTTGAAGGCCAACAAACTGGTATGGTGTGTGTGTGTGTGTGTGTGAGAGAGAGAGAGAGAGAGAGAGAGAGAGAGAGAGAGAGAGAGAGAGAGAGAGAGAGAGGGTGGGGGCTCTCGTGGCCTAGAGGTTAAGGTGTTGGCCTCTCATTCAAAAGGTCCCGGGTTCGAATCCGGGTAGCGACCGAAACATTTTCTTCTCTAAAATTGTCTCCTTTCACCTTCTTTCCTGCTCTCTGGCAATGTTCTGTTGTCTGCTTTCATTTCCACTTTCTGCCCCCATCCCCTCACCTCCTTTGCCCCCTCCTCTGGGCTCCTGACTCTTTCTGCAGCCTTTCTAAATTCTAATGCTACTTCTTGGCTCCTCCCTACTGCTGTCTTTCTGCCACACCCCTGATCTTATGGTAGGAAAGATCTACACCTAGCCTTCTCGAAACAAGGGCAAAAGATCTCGGAGGGCCCATGTGCAAGTTGCGCACGTTAAAGATCCCTTGTTGGTCTAAAATCGATAAGAGTAGGCTTCGGCCGTCACCCGGGCAAAATTCCAAATTTCCTACCAACTGAAAATATTAGGTGTGCCCCGCGCGCTCATATGACCTTATGCAGTTGTGAGCGCCGTACAACACTTTACAAAAACAAAACAATTGGTTGTGTGTGTTAGGTGTATCCCGCGCGCTCATATGACCTTATGCAGTTGCGAGCGCCGTAAAACACTTTACAAAAACAAAACAAAAACAAGCACATGGGACCTCCAAGCTTTCTCGCCCTTATTATGGCTGAAAGACAGCAGTGAGTAAGAAGGAACCAAGGAGAAGCTGCACCAAGAGTCAG